ATTAAAAGGTATACTTGGTATTAATCCCAATTTGATATCTCATTTTTAAGTGCGTCAAATATTTAGTTTTTGAAATGGGGGTGGGATTGCTACCCCTTCCGAGGGTCCTAAGCGATTCTTCTTCTGGCAAGTAACTGCTTTCATTAAAAGGTATAGTTGGTATTAATTCCAACTTGATATCTCATTTTTAAGTGCGTCAAATATTTATTTTTTGAAATGGGGGTGGGATTGCTACCCCTTCCGAAGGTCCTAAGCGATTCTTCTTTTGTCCAGTAACTTCTTGCAATAAAAGGTATACTTGGTATTAATCCCAACTTGATATCTCATTTTTAGGTGCGTCAAATATTTATTTTTTAAAATAGGGGTGGGATTGCTACCCCTTCCGAGGGTCCTAAGCGATTTTGCTTTTGGTCAGTAACTGCTTGCATTAAAAGGTATACTTGGTATTAATCCCAACTTGATATCTCATTTTTAAGTGCGTCAAATATTTATTTTTTGAAATGGGGGTGGGATTGCTACCCCTTCCGAGGGTCCTAAGCGATTCTTCTTTTGTCCAGTAACTTCTTGCAATAAAAGGTATACTTGGTATTAATCCCAACTTGATATCTCATTTTTAAGTGCGTCAAATATTTATTTTTTGAAATGGGGGTGGGATTGCTACCCCTTCCGAGGGCCCTAAGCATTTATCCTTCTGGTCAGTAACTGCTTGCATTAAAAGGTATACTTGGTATTAATCCCAACTTGATATCTCATTTTTAAGTGCGTCAAATATTTATTTTTAGAAATGGGGGTGGGATTGCTACCCCTTCCGAGGGTCCTAAGCAATTCTTCTTTTGGCAAGTAACTGCTTTTATTAAAAGGTATAGATGGTATTAATTCCAACTTGATATCTCATTTTTAAGTGCGTCAAATATTTATTTTTTGAAATGGGGGTGGGATTGCTACCCCTTCCGAGGGTCCTAAGCGATTCTTCTTTTGTCCAGTAACTTCTTGCAATAAAAAGTATACTTGGTATTAATCCCAACTTGATATCTCATTTTTAAGTGGGTCAAATATTTATTTTTTGAAATGGGGGTGGGATTGCTACCCCTTCCGAGGGCCCTAAGCATTTATCCTTCTGGTCAGTAACTGCTTGCATTAAAAGGTATACTTGGTATTAATCCCAACTTGATATCTCATTTTTAAGTGCGTCAAATATTTATTTTTTTAAAATAGGGTTAGGATTGCTACCCCTTCCGAGGGTCCTAAGTGATTTTGCTTTTGGCCAGTAACTGCTTGCATTAAAAGGTGTACTTGGTATTAATCCCAACTTGATATCTCATTTTTAAGTGCGTCAAATATTTATTTTTTGAAATGGGGGTTGGCTTGCTACCCCTTACGAGGGTCCTAAGCGATTCTTCTTTTGGCCAGTAACTGCTTGCATTAAAAGGTATAGTTGGTATTAATTCCAACTTGATGTCTCATTTTTTAGTGCGTCAAATATTTATTTTTTGAAATGGGGGTGGGATTGCTACCCCTTCCGAGGGTCCTAAGCGATTCTTCTTTTGGACAGTAACTGCTTGCAATAAAAGGTAGACTTGGTATTAATCCCAAATTGATATCTAATTTTTAAGTACGTCAAATATTTATTTTTTAAAATAGGGGTGCGATTGCTACCCCTTCCGAGGGTTCTAAGCGATTGTTCTTTTGGCCAGTAACTGCTTGCAATAAAAGGCATACTTGGTATTAATCCCAACTTGATATCTAAATTTTAAGTACGTCAAATATTTATTTTTTAAAATAGGGGCGGGATTGCTACCCCTTCCGAGGGTCCTAAGCGATTTTGCTTTTGGTTAGTAACTGCTTGCATTAAAAGGTATACTTGGTATTAATCTCAACTTGATATCTCATTTTTAAGTGCGTCAAATATTTATTTTTTTAAATGGGGGTGGGATTGCTACCCCTTCCGAGGGTCCTAAGCGATTCTTCTTTTGTCCAGTAACTTCTTGCAATAAAAGGTATACTTGGTATTAATCCCAACTTGATATCTCATTTTTAAGTGCGTCAAATATTTATTATTTGAAATGGGGGTGGGATTGCTACCCCTTCCGAAGGCCCTAAGCATTTATCCTTCTGGTCAATAACTACTTGCATTAAAAGGTATACTTGGTATTAATCCCAACTTGATATCTCATTTTTATGTGCGTCAAATATTTATTTTTTTAAAATAGGGGTGGGATTGCTACCCCTTCCGAGGGTCCTAAGTGATTTTGCTTTTGGCCAGTAACTGCTTGCATTAAAAGGTGTACTTGGTATTAATCCCAACTTGATATCTCATTTTTAAGTGCGTCAAATATTTATTTTTTGAAATGGGGGTTGGATTGCTACCCCTTACGAGGGTCCTAAGCGATTCTTCTTTTGGCCAGTAACTGCTTGCAATTAAAGGCATACTTGGTATTAATCCCAACTTGATATCTAAATTTTAAGTACGTCAAATATTTATTTTTTAAAATAGGGGCGGGATTGCTACCCCTTCCGAGGGTCCTAAGCGATTTTGCTTTTGGCCAGTAACTGCTTGCATTAAAAGGTATACTTGGTATTAATCCCAACTTGATATCTCATTTTTAAGTGCGTCAAATATTTATTTTTTGAAATGGGGGTGGGATTGCTACCCCTTCCGAGGGTCCTAAGCGATTCTTCTTTTGGCCAGTAGCTGCTTGTATTAAAAGGTATAGTTGGTATTAATTCCAACTTGATATCTCATTTTTAAGTGCGTCAAATATTTATTTTTTGAAATGGGGGTGTTATTGCTACCCCTTCCGAGGGTCCTAAGCGATTCTTCTTTTGTCCAGTAACTTCTTGCAATAAAAAGTATACTTGGTATTAATCCCAACTTGATATCTCATTTTTAAGTGGGTCAAATAATTATTTTTTGAAATGGGGGTGGGATTGCTACCCCTTCCGAGGGCCCTAAGCATTTATCCTTCTGGTCAGTAACTGCTTGCATTAAAAGGTATACTTGGTATTAATCCCAACTTGATATCTCATTTTTAAGTGCGTCAAATATTTATTTTTTTAAAATAGGGTTAGGATTGCTACCCCTTCCGAGGGTCCTAAGTGATTTTGCTTTTGGCCAGTAACTGCTTGCATTAAAAGGTGTACTTGGTATTAATCCCAACTTGATATCTCATTTTTAAGTGCGTCAAATATTTATTTTTTGAAATGGGGGTTGGATTGCTACCCCTTACGAGGGTCCTAAGCGATTCTTCTTTTGGCCAGTAACTGCTTGCAATAAAAGGCATACTTGGTATTAATCCCAACTTGATATCTAAATTTTAAGTACGTCAAATATTTATTTTTTAAAATAGGGGCGGGATTGCTACCCCTTCCGAGGGTCCTAAGCGATTCTTCTTTTGGCCAGTAGCTGCTTGTATTAAAAGGTATAGTTGGTATTAATTCCAACTTGATATCTCATTTTTAAGTGCGTCAAATATTTATTTTTTGAAATGGGGGTGGGATTGCTACCCCTTCCGAGGGTCCTAAGCGATTCTTCTTTTGTCCAGTAACTTCTTGCAATAAAAAGTATACTTGGTATTAATCCCAACTTGATATCTCATTTTTAAGTGGGTCAAATATTTATTTTTTGAAATGGGGGTGGGATTGCTACCCCTTCCGAGGGCCCTAAGCATTTATCCTTCTGGTCAGTAACTGCTTGCATTAAAAGGTATACTTGGTATTAATCCCAACTTGATATCTCATTTTTAAGTGCGTCAAATATTTATTTTTTTAAAATAGGGTTAGGATTGCTACCCCTTCCGAGGGTCCTAAGTGATTTTGCTTTTGGCCAGTAACTGCTTGCATTAAAAGGTGTACTTGGTATTAATCCCAACTTGATATCTCATTTTTAAGTGCGTCAAATATTTATTTTTTGAAATGGGGGTTGGCTTGCTACCCCTTACGAGGGTCCTAAGCGATTCTTCTTTTGGCCAGTAACTGCTTGCATTAAAAGGTATAGTTGGTATTAATTCCAACTTGATGTCTCATTTTTTAGTGCGTCAAATATTTATTTTTTGAAATGGGGGTGGGATTGCTACCCCTTCCGAGGGTCCTAAGCGATTCTTCTTTTGGACAGTAACTGCTTGCAATAAAAGGTAGACTTGGTATTAATCCCAAATTGATATCTAATTTTTAAGTACGTCAAATATTTATTTTTTAAAATAGGGGTGCGATTGCTACCCCTTCCGAGGGTTCTAAGCGATTGTTCTTTTGGCCAGTAACTGCTTGCAATAAAAGGCATACTTGGTATTAATCCCAACTTGATATCTAAATTTTAAGTACGTCAAATATTTATTTTTTAAAATAGGGGCGGGATTGCTACCCCTTCCGAGGGTCCTAAGCGATTTTGCTTTTGGTTAGTAACTGCTTGCATTAAAAGGTATACTTGGTATTAATCTCAACTTGATATCTCATTTTTAAGTGCGTCAAATATTTATTTTTTTAAATGGGGGTGGGATTGCTACCCCTTTCGAGGGTCCTAAGCGATTCTTCTTTTGACCAGTAACTGCTTGCATTAAAAGGTATAGTTGGTATTAATTCCAACTTGATATCTCATTTTTAAGTGCGTCAAATATTTATTTTTTGAAATGGGGGTGTGATTGCTACCCCTTCCGAGGGTTCTAAGCGAATGTGCTTTTGGTCAGTAACTATTTGTATTAAAACTTATACGTGGTATTAATTCTGCTTTGATATTTTATTTTTAATAATATGAATATTAAGAAATTTCATTATGAATGTATTATTTTTCATGTATTTATTTTTTTTATTTATTTATATAAGGAAAATAACATTTAAAATACAAACGACCTCAATTTTCAATTAACACATAAAATTGAAATAAACGTATGTATTGCCCTTTTTAACGGGCCACTGTATTGTTCGGGAGTACTCGGTAAACGGGCTACCAGTTTTTGGCTACTAACTTCACACCGGTAGGGATGTAAGAGAAATGAATAAAAACCAAGATGAATATCATAAATATAATTTTAATTATAATGTCGATGGTAAACAACACATTCTCGGAAGGTGTAAATCAAAACCTTTTGGAAAGTGGAAAAGGGCAATATCAGGTTTGAATATATCAAAATTATTAATAAAAGTTTAAATTACTTAATTTTTTACAATTGTAGCTTTTAAAAGAAAAAAGTAATTTACCACATTATGGTAACTGTTGGAAACAAGGTGTAGAACATCTAGAAAAAGGATGCCAATCACTTGCTGAAGATAAACAAAGTGAACTTGCACTACATTTTACGAACTGTTTTCTAAAAATGTCTGGTCATGATACTTACAATTGTGACTCAGATAAGAAAAGAAATTTAAGAGCAATCTGTATTAACACTATGTCAGACAGAGCATTCAATGTATATACAGAGTTTTATACTCACATCCAAAATATTTGCAGCTTTTTACAGGGGCATATTTGGCATGAAATGATTAGTGAAAATACAATAACCGTCGGTCTTAAGTTAAAAGAAACCGCACAAAGTCAAGAAGACTTATTACAAGCTCAAAAAGAGAGCATACAACTGCAAGAAAAAATGTTACAACATGGTCGAGTATTAGAAAATGTATTGGATGATTTGTTTTTATCATTTAAGACTCACGAAGATATATTGAATGTGTTATTTCAAACGATGTCTAATTTACAGAGCTGGATAGTTGGAGAAATGTATTGGTTTGATTCAATTATTTTTTACACTGCTTTTGTTATTGTTGCATTTATTATGACATCATCTCAAAGAACCAGTACAGCTAGATTATTTATTTTCATTGTGCTTCTTATAAATTTTCTCATAGAAAGAAGCATATGTACTTTATATACATATTTTTCAAATGAAGAGGCTTCAACCATGTATTCTAATCTTCATAATCATATTTGGTTGATACGTTATGCTTTTATGGTACTTACAATAATTTTACTAGCTTATTTAGCATTTAATCAAATTGATCCTTTAAGAAAACAGCACGAGATTCTTTATTTAATTCAAGAACAAAACTCTGCCATTTTGGATATACTAAAAACATCAATAAATTCTGACGTATGCTTAAATAACTTTAATAGGGCAATTAAATCTGTTGATGAATCAAAAATTGATAAAGATCTATCAAATATTCAGCAGGATTATTATATATTAAATGAATCTATGCAAGATTCCAATAAGTCTGAAATGTTGGATGTAAAAGATGTATCAAATGATATTAATTTGAAAGTTAAGAAGAATAAACTAAATCTTTTAGGAAAATATAACCTTCGCAGTAGTAGAAGTCGTAGTAATAGTACTAATAAGTAGTAGGTGTACATTTAGAATCTAAAATTATAATAAAAAGTATTTATTTATATTTTATTGATTTTTTCAACCCACCGTTTTACAAAATATATTAGCATGTTAAACTTTGACAAATGTTTAGACTGAGTAATTTGGAGGTTCATCTTATTCAGACATCACATTCACAAGCTCTGTAAAAGTTTGTAAGACCCTAATATTTAAGGATTATTTAGCAACTTAAATAAAAACTATCTAAACATGTGTTTTTACAATTTATTATAGCCAAGTTTGGCAATGGAAGTTCAACTTCTGCTGCCTTAGATTATTACTATTATTCTATCTTTATTATCAAATGAATATAGAATCTTTATTTTATATATCCTAATACATAGTATCATTTGCAAATTTTTGGACTGGAACTGTCTTGCTTGCTTTTAGTCTATTAGGAAATGTTCCTGTTTCTAGTGAGGTGTTTATTAAATTTAACACTGCAAAGCCAGTTGTATAAAAGGTTTCCTTTAAAAACTTAGCACTCAATATCTCATAGCTTCCCTTATTTTTTAACGAAAAAACAGCTTTTTTTTAGTTGATCTAATGTAATTAATTTAAAATCAGTTAATGTGGATTGAATATCATTTAAAAAAATTGATGACCAATCATCAGTTGAAGGAATTTGATTTGTTGGCTGCTTCTTCTTCTGTTTTAGCGAAATATACAGATCCATCAATAGAAAACCCAACAGAGTCAAATTTAATTTCCATATTTTTACTTTTAATTCATTTTTTTAGTGTTTTCCACATTTCTTTAGAAGTCCTATAAAAAGAGAAAGAGTTAGTCCTTGTTACGTCTACGCCGAACCGTTGTCCAGAAAGTTTCAAAATTGAAAAAATATTTTAAAAAACCAAAAGTTTATTTTCAATCTTATTACTAACAGTAACATGACATAAAAAACAAAGGTATCAAAACGATTTAAAAACACTTAATTTAAATTTAATAAAAAAAACTAATTTTCTTAATAACTGGCGTTGTTGCCCTTCATGGAAATACTCATTCTTCTACTGGCTCTTGAAGTGTACCCGCCCGGATCATTTGAACTAGTACTTGGTGGTGGATATCGCCATCTCCAAGGTTTTTGATGAATGTGTCCGTCTGTCGACGCTCTCTCCCTAAAAGGAGTGCTTTCTAGGGGACTTAAGGCGGTGCTTTCACTCGTTTCCGATTCGCCTTCTTCTACTTCTTCTTCTGTCCAGCGTCTACCTGGAAATACAAACAAAAATTAATAGTGGTTCTTAGTTTAATTTCTACGGAGAAAATTGATAATATCAAGTGACAATTCGACATAGACTAGTATTAGAAACTAATACTTCTTGATAATAATTAAAGTTAAGGGTGAGTAAATTAATAAGAACCTTTTAAGTACAACACCCTGTAATTTTTTTTATAATTAACATTTCAAACTTAAATGTGACTAAGATGTAAATGGAAAGAAGAAAAATCCTTTTCCTTTTCCATCCGGTAAACTGCTTCTCTGGTTATATTTATTCATTCATTTATATTAATGAAAATTATAACTTCTAATCTCAAAATCAAGTATGATTATTTTGTAATTAGCAGTTCTTCTTTATCCACATTTAGTACATTAGCTAGTTCTGTCCCACCTTCATCTCATCTAGATCAAAGCTTCCATTATTAATAAAAAATAAATGGGAATGTTATATGAACAGAAATGAAGATTTTTTTTCTAATTTTTCCGTTGTTTCTCATATTTTTCATGGTTTTTCTCTTTTTTCGGGAACGTGCTGTAATTGATAAGTGTTAAACAAAACAAGTGGCAATACTAACAAAAATATATGTGTAAAATTCTCAAGGGGTGGTCGCTCTAAGAGCTCGGATTTCCTATTTATTAAAGTTCAAACTCATAGTTTCATATCTAAATAATTTAGGGAATAATTATGGAATCGAGAAATAAAATTTGAACATGAATATTGCATTTCCTCTTACGAAAGTTTAATTCCATAGGGCTTATATGGCTAAACAACGCAGTCATATTAGCTTAATTTGCAATAAAAGTTGAAAAACAACAAACTCACATCTGGTTTTATATCAGAATTAAAACGTAGTTTCAGTTTGGTATAGGATCTCAACAATTGAATAAAATCCATAATTAGTTTTTATTTAACTAGGAATAAGTAAGTTATCATTTGTACAAATGTTAGATAATTCGGGGATAATCAGGCGGAAGGTCTTTACCGCAATCAAAAATAGAATTATTTGGAATACATTACACATTGACTAACATTACGTTTGACAAAACAGGAGGGCATCAAAATTATTACAAAAACAAAGTGGTTAATATTTTAGTAAAAAAAGTGCCCTGTGGAGCGGGCGGACAGAATAGCTCCACCCAAGCATTTACCATTGGGGTGGTAGAAGCCCACCAAATGGCTACTTCCAAAAAATGAGACATCTAGTGACGCCGTGACGCCTCGGAGACGTTATCAGTTTGCGGGACTTTGCCGAGCTGAGAGGCCGGCATAGTTCTCTCACGCGTTTGTATACACTTACAGGCAATTTTGTGGTTGAGAGACACGCGTCTTCAAATCTTACAGCAGACCCTGTGAATTTAATTTCTGTTGATATGGCATTCATACTATAAGTCGCCATGCGTTACCGTTTCGATGATGGTGGGTGAGCTTCTCCGGGTTTTCCTCATCTGTAAGTCAAATGACACCATAAATCATCTTTAAGTCGCCCCGGAGCGCCACGGAAAATATTAGTAATAGCCGTTCCTTCTCCACACAAGCTCAGTCGGCTTCAGGGGTTGACATTCACTTGTAAGGGGGTAAATTATCTCTCGGCGACTTGTCAACCAGCAGACTTTTGACGAGCTATGAGGCAGGTCCTATATACGCCAGTGTCATCAATATGGCCATCGACAGCTAATGACAAATGTCATCAATCTATTCCGCGACAGCTAATGGCTTATTGTTATTAAAAGGAAAATTAAAACAGTTTTGACTCTTGGAATTTACTGGAGTCATCAGTAAGGCTCTAAGTCTGGAAAGTTTGAAGACTCTTACTCTAGATTGTCGCCCTGTGATGCGGGCCGACAGGGGATGGTAAAAGCCCACCAAATGGCAACTTACAGAAACGGGCATTTGTGACGCCTCGGCGACGTTATTACCCTGCAGGATTATTAGTAACTGAAAGGCTGGTTATCCTTAGACACCTCTTGACAACTTGTCAACTAGCAAGTTTTTGACGAGCTCTGAGGCAGGTCCTATATTCCTACCTGTAGAGCAGTTGTCTTCAAACTACGGCGCGCCAGTATCATCAATCCGGCCCGAGACAGCTAATGGCTTTTTGGTATAAAAATGAAAATTGAAACGGTTTTGGCCCTTGGAACTTACTGGAGTAATCAGTATGGGTCTAAGGCTGGAAAGTGTAAAGACCCTGCTCCTCAGGATCGCCCTGTGGTGCAGGCCGACAACGCATTTGCCATCTGGAAGGTAGAAGCCCGCCAAATCGCTTACAGAAATGAGGCATCTAGTAACACATCGGTGACGTTAAGAACCTTGCAGGATTTTGACGAGCTGAGAGGTTGGCTATCCCTAGACATCTCTTGACAACTTGTCAACTAGCAGGCCTTTGACGAGCAGAGAGGCAGGTCTTATTTTCCCCAGGAGAATGCACAATCAATGGGGCTAGTAAAGTCAAAGTACCCATTTTTCTCAAAACTCTAAAAACAGAACACATTTCTACTGCTTCCGAAACTAAGGTTTGACATCATATACTTTTGTATCATTGTACGTTAACCAGCAGATAAATTGGGCCGCTTTACCCTATATTTGCAGTGATACTAGAACAACTTGGTATACTCTTATCCATTATCAACAAAGTTATAAATTATAAATAAATGTCAAAGAATAACCAACCCCAGTATTAACTTTGCAGATAAAATCTGTTAATACATCGGACGAAATCCGGTACTGTATGTGGACTGCATTTTGAGAGGGAAACCCTTTGACCATAATCAAACACAGACGAACGGCACAAATTTTATTTAATTATTCGACAAGACTGAGTACACAAATTATTTACATATTTACACGACTAACCATTTATGCTTGTACTAAATTTAATGCCCACCGGCAACGAAAATATGCGCGTGTGTTAATGTTTGAGAGAACGATAACGAAGTGTGTGTGCGTATGAAGTTTGAAACTGAAATGTACACCGACCCCGAGACATGTTGACTGTTAGAGGTTTTACGTTGGAGTGGTGTAAGCGAAATGTATGCCAAGGATAAAGAATTGTGTTGTTGTAGGTGATGTGGGGAACTTGTATGTGGAAAGCGTATCCAACTAGTGATCATTGAGTGGAATTTCGCTAGAAAATATTGTTTAGCTCTAGTGAGTGAGGAAAAAAATTGTTGCGATGCAATATATGTAGCGAAATGCACTTTGGATTTTGGAAATACTTGTGTACGTGACATTCATCACGTTTTGCAGAAAATATATTTAGCTTGTACTGTATCTTGAGTGCGATGAGATTGTAATTTTAGGATAGAAAATGTGCATTTCTTGAATGCGTGGGTTTAAGCATAAATGGGTTGAACATTGCCGGTTTGGAGAATGTTATGTTATAATTTAAGAATGTGTTATGGAATATAAACACCCAAATTGACTGATTATGTCTTTTTGTTTTATAGTAATCTGTGAGAAACAAAAAATAAGGTCCGACTGATATGGCAATGTAGATCTCTAACAATCTGATCTCGTTGTTGCCACATATCAGACGATTTTGTCGATCCAGCGACTTTTACGTTTAATTTATCACAAAACTAGTTAAAACCAAATTGATAAAAATAAAATTCAATAAAACTACATGATTTAATTAAAAGGTAAAATAGTCTAAATATTTTTGTTTTATACAATTTTTTTTTTTTTGTATTTTTGACTGACATCTCGCTGAACGTGCAACTTTCAACAAACTACGTATGGAAACATGATTTGATTGATATCATTTTACAAATAATCGGAAACAGAAATACAACCCGCTGTGTACAGTAATTTAGAGTATGTATATAGAAAACGACGGAATATATGTAGTAGAATTTTCGTTTGAAATTGAACAACTTGAAATGCGCATTACTTTTAAGCGTAAATAAGTTCCGTCCTAAGGCTGTCTTTCGGTCAAATATTGAACTTTGGTTTCCATTTCCGGAAATGCCTACGATTGATGTGTTTTATGTGTTGGGGAACGAAGGAATAGGGTGAAATATAGAATTAATGCGAAAGGTTGCGGTTCTCTGTTCTCTCGACGAAAAACAAAGTTACAATACTGTACGATCACACGTGCCACGCGATGTCTATTTAAACATTTAAGGCCTCCAATCCCAAACGGAAACTAACAAGTTTTGAGTCATACACGAAAAAATTCGAGTAGAAATAGATAATGAAGAACAGTTATATATGAAAAAATTCCGAATTGTCTTTAGTTTTGGAGTAACCTACCGCAAAGAGCTCTAACTCCTTTATAAAACAGTTTCGAATTAAGGTAATTTGTTAAATCGACAAAAATCAAGTCTAATATCTGAGTTTTCCATTTGGCAGGCGAGTTCTCACACCCTGTATAAGAATTTTTTTCATTCGATTCGTAGAAAAGGTGTTATGGATAATATTTTAATAGTTTTAAATATTCATACTTTATATGAGAAATTGGAAAAAATAATCACGTCACATTTAAATTATCAAGGTGATGTTTTTTGCAGTGAATTTAATTTATTTTTGAATTGATATATTTATAATGGACTGATCAATTTCTTTAGTTCTGACACATTTTTTCACACAAGACAACTTCGCAACGATGCACAAAATACTTGGTGCAGTTATAATAAAAACTGCATTGTTGCCTATTGGGCAGCTGCCTGAACAAGCATTTCCGCTCATACCGCTAAGACTTCGCGCGAAAATTCTCTAGAGAAAATTGTAAGAGGGATATTTTTAATCGCCTGCTTCTAAGTTCAGACCCCCTCTTAAGTAGCATGAGGAACGTTAAAAGTAGAAAAATGAAGTCTTTTTTGCCAGAAACAATTTACTAATGTCTGCAAGACCTCTTGAAGCTGGTAATTCTTCATAAAGCGAAGATTAAAATTTATACGAATAATGTTTGATACAATTGTATATCTATATTTTTTATTAATAAATATAGGCTAATTAAACATTAAAACATTTGTTTTATTTATTAATATCGTTTAGAATCGATATAGACCAAAAAATTATTTTGGTTGCGTAAATCGTTCAAATGCCCCTATTTGCTTTGTATCAAATGATAAAAATGACATGCCACGGCGTATAACCTCGAAAAATAATTAATTGATATTAATTAATATTATACACAGTGAATTAAGTAAAATTTAAAAATAAACTGAATGGCATACAGAGACTCGAATTTGGAACACACTGTACTGTATTATAGTTTCTTTCTAATCATTTTAATTTTAAATTAAATATTTAAAAAAAAACTTGGACCACTCTTGTTTAATTTCATTTTGGCTCACATTATACAACGTGGTAGACGCTTGGGTCTGCTGAGGCTGAAAAATAGAAACGAGGTCACAGTTACCCTGATGTTTATGGCCTTTGATTTTGAAGTTGATTTTTCTCAAAGCCTGTCTCTTTTTTCCTGATATTTACAAGATAAACACACTGATTAGTGTTTGAAGAGGTGACCCCGAAATTTACGGAAATGTTTGATGAAAAAAGTTTTAGAACGCGTGGCGTTTACAGAAATATGATCAAATAAAATAAATATATATAGGGATATTGGAATGGTAATATTTATTGGACAAATCAATACGCTATATTAGTGATTTGTTTTCTAATGACAGTAACAATATTGAATATTGTTTTGCAATTTTTCATTTTTAATACGAAAAGCGTTCCAGTCTGACGACTTCGTGGAGCCATCTTAATTATTACGTTAGATATGAGCTTGGAACAAGCGGAAGAAGATGCCCGTTAGAGTTAAAGTCGGGGGTTAACACGCGACGTAAAGTCTGTATGGGTTCGCGTTATTTCTGATACATCTATGTAATTGGGAAATTTTACTATAAATACAGCGCTTGTATTTGGGAACGGGTTAGAAACTTCTCTCTCTTCCACGAAACAAGTTAGCAAAATGAGCATATGTAGTGTTATCTATAAGGTGACCCCTTAATTAAAAGGAGATATACTGTTACTTATAAGGTGACCGCGCTTTTTGCTATATTTTGAAACGACAATAAAAGATATCAACGAGGTAAATACATTATTTTCTATATGCGACGACTTCTGACCAGATATACTGTTTCCTATAAGGTGACCCCTTTTCTTTATATTCACAGTATAATTAAAAGGAGATGTAGTTATCTATATAGTGACCGCGTTTTTTGCTATTTTTTGAAACGGCAGTAAGAGATAACAACGGGTTACATACATTAACTATTTTTCATAACGACGACTTCTGTCGTGATATACTGTTATCTATAAGGTGACCTATTAGCTTTATATTCTCAGTATAATTAAAAGGAGATATACGTTATATAAAGTGACTTAGCTTTTTGCTATATTTTGAAACGGTAGCAAAATATATCAACGGGGTAGATACATTATGTTCCATATTTAACGACTTCTGCCCAAATATTCTGTTGCCTATGAGGTGACGGGGTAAAACGATTTGCATTGGCCAGCAGAATAAAAAAGTAAGAGAACGCCAGTCCCAAGTAAATATAAATCAGGAACCTGCAAATGTTCTGGATCCTGAAATCAATCCAGCAGCAAATTTTTCTATGAATAGGCTTTTTCAATCAAAATATTCTGCTTGCCAAGTATTTACAGAAGATCAAGAAGATCAATTATTCAAATGTTTATTAAAAAGTTCCAAGATGTATTTTGGTCTTACTGCCGGCTCTATTAAACTTTTGAAAATAGACTTAAGTTCCTATCACATCATCCAGAGTTTTAATCTTTTTAATTTTCGGTAAAGTTCTGCTTTTATCAGTAAACCTGTCTCATGTTCTTTAATGTATTTTTTATTTTCTTTTTTATAAGTATTCATATTTTCTTTTAATTTTTTCATTAAGTTATATATTCCAATGTGCCCCATAGGTGGGGCACATTGGTACAAAAGCAGACCATTTAAGAAAAAATTATTTCTTGGTTCTGTTAAATAGATGTGCAAATTTTAAGCATGGGTAACATAGGAGAAAGAACAGAGAATGTATGAACCGAGTTCGAAACTTTTCTTGTGGATATGTTATGAGATACCATTTAAAATGTCTGAAACATACCAATGTGCCCCACTCTCCCCTACTTAATTTCATACACCCGGTTACTGGCGTTTATTGTCTACAATTTTGTATAGTGCCGTACCTATCTAGTTTTTTTGCTACGGTTAAAAATATGTTAAATTTTTAACGGGTAAGTTAGCTCTGACTGACCTATTTTTGCTTCAAGCATATCTGATATAATTTATAACCTACCTTTCTGTTCCAGCCTGTATTAATTAAACATAAAAAGCTTTAATCATAATAAACTTACCTAATACTCCCGCTGGTCTACAATTATATGGAATTAAACTACTTGGAGAAACAGTGGCGGAACACAATAATCGAATGGTATCAGGAGACATTGGCTCCTTTTCACTGCCATTTTTTCTGAGCTTTGTTGGATTTTTACTATGCACTCTCCAAAAACGACAAACATCTCGGAAAACATTCCATACCTAAACAGAAGAAAGCATTAAATACCTCAATAATAATAGAAACATTTTTCACAGGGAACAAAATACCAAAAACACCAGTTTTTAAGTACACATTTTTTATTTTTTAACAATAAAGTCAAGCATACTTTTGGAGTAATGCTTGATAAAATACACTATTACGATTACTAATAGCTATTTCTTCGGATGATGTACGAAATGTTAAAAAAAATATATTTTTATATATATTTTAATCAGTTTTTTTGTTTTCCCAATTGAAAATCGAATTACATATCCTCTATCTAACATAAAGTCTGATCATAACGAATTACTTTTTTATTTTACATAAAAAATATCTCCCGTTCATCGAATGCCGCCGTGATATGAATTCTGCGCTAGCAGGCGAATTAATACGCCTCGTGGGCAATGATATTCTGGAGAAATTAGTAGGTACTTAAGCAGATAGGAGAAATTGTAGCAATAAATACCTGTTCTATACTCTCCCTGACTGAGATCTCATGAAAACAGACGCATCCTATTTCCTTACTTCTTCTTTGCCCCTCCTCTGACGATATCATTCTATCTTCGATTTGATCTATTTTGTTGCCGACTAATACGACTGGAACTTCTCCGCAACTTCCCACTACGGCGCTGCCCAATCTTCGTCTTTTTTTATTATAATTTATGAGAAATTTAAGTCTGTGGCATTCGTCGAAAGAACATTTATCTGTCACTGAATACATTAGAATGAACGCTTCCGCCCATCGAATGTTGGCTTCCAGACCTAAACATTCGGTTTCCTGAAAATAAAAAACGCATAAAACGTTGAGTATATAAATTAATTACATAAACGTCTCCCATTTTAAACCACATATTCGAAATTTTGGCATATACTCCCACAATTGACTGCAAAAAATAACACGTCGTTTTTTTTTGGCCACACTTTGTAGGGGAGACGGGCGAACAAATTGTATTATTAGAGATAAGGATAGCTATAGGAATTTGGTGGTTGAATTCACGCCATATATGAACATAGCCAGAGCTGTATCTACACGCTGAACAGCAGTAAAAGATTAGTAGGGTAGATAAACTTTATACAGTTTAAAAGAAGACATGCTATTTTCAATAAGTTGACCGGAAGACGGACGTTTAATAGGGCCTAATTTTTTAGTCCCTATAATTATTTTGTAACGTATCTGAAATAGTTGTACAATTTATACTAGTATGAGGGAATTAGTTATCTATAGGGTGTCCGGTAATGAATTTAAGGGTTTAACGCAATAAAACTTACCCCCAGAACATGATATACCAGGTTTATTAGCATTATTAGACAGAGTAAATATGCGTATTTAGTGTTTAAACAGAAATTCGTTTAAATGCCGACCGTCTTCTTTGTAGCAAGCTGTTAATCTGGAGCGTAAGCTGCGGAAAACGTTCTGACACATCGCCACGGGTATGCCACGTATAGCATTGGTGATGCGGTCCTTTAGCTGCAGGATGGTTTGTGGCATCGGTGCTGTGTAGACACTTTTCAAGTATCCCCATAGGAAAAAAAAATCCAGGGGCGTTAGGCCTGGTAAGTGTGGAGGAAATGAAATATCGCCATTGATGGAAATTACCGTGCCAGGAAACACTTCGGTAACTGCATTTATGGATATGCCTGCACTATATCTTTAATAGTTGATGACACAATATTATTTAGTCTCATAATTTGATATTACACATGTTGTTCGTCCATTACTAAAGAATCAAGGTTGTGTTCGGTCACGACGCCACAACACCAAGTTAGTTCATCTCCTAGGAAATCTAGGGCCCTTCTACTTCTTAGATTGTATTTTTCTATAGATAAATTTTGAAAGAATCAGGGGCTCCAGCTTTCCTCGAGATTTTGAAATTCTTTTTTGTAAGTGTTTCGTATTTTTTTTTTAATTCATTAATAAGGATGCATTCCTTAGTCATTTTTAAGTTACAAGTCAGGTGTTGTTTCTGAGGCTCAACTTTACTCGGCCTATACCATTGTGACTCATAAACGAGGGGTACTGTGGCTTCGTATGCCACTACATCTTGTAACGCTCTCCAAAACGCACCAGCAATCACCTATACTTTTTGTGTATTTCTTTTGCTGGGGATGTTTTTGAGGGCACATCATACAATCAGCGTCCTGTGTAGAAAGTATATATGTATTATTTTGGGGCTTTTTCTATTTGATAATTATATATTTACAAGTTACCAGTCTTGACGAGCAGCAACTTTTTTTTTTAAATAATAAATAAGGGAAAGAACAAAATGTATATGCCGGGTGGTAGTGTTGTTTATAAAATACTTAAATATAAAGTTATTATTAATTACTATAAATTTCATTAAATTTTATTTCTTATTTACAGGTTGCAGATTCTCTTCATCTACTGGGACGAGTTCTAAACTCCATGGATCGTGATATGGCAGCATTCTGCTGACATGAATGACATCCTGAGCACAGTTTTTGTGTTCCCCTTTTTGGATCAGGTAATTTACTTCTCCAATCTTATCTTTTACATAATAAGGACCAAACCACCTTAGAAGAAGCTTTTCACTCCTTCCTTCCTTCCTTCCTTCATTTATTTTGTCTCCTTTTTTAAATTCTATTGTCCTGTGCATGGAATCATATCTTTCTTTGTCCTTTGCCTGTTTGTTCTTTATGCCCTGTACAGCTAGGTTTCTGACTGCCACAGCTTTGTCTCTAATCTGTACTACGTCCAGATTGTTCGTTTGAGCCATTAAGTTTGCCTCTGTTGGCAAGATTGGTTCTCTCCCATAAACCAGCATAAAAAGGGAGAATTTGGTAGTGTCCTGTTTCGCTGTGTTGTATGCAAATGTTATTGAACTCAGGTATTCGTCCCAGTCTGTGTGTTCTGAGTTAGTATACATTGCCAAGATATTTGCCAGGGTCTTGTTGAATCTTTCTGTCAATCCATTTGTTGCTAGATGATAGACAGTGGTAAACTGGCTTGTTGTTCCCATTATTTTAGTGAGATCATTGATCATCTCCGATTTGAAGTTTGACTTTTAGTCACTTAGCAAAAACCGTGGGCTACCATGTTTGCAGATAATATAATTCAATATAAATTTGACAATTTGGTTCGCTTTTGCGTTTGTTAGAGCCATCGTTTAGGCCATCTGGTGGCGTAGTCAGCAGCGACTATTATCACCGATTTCCATTTTGACTTTTTCGAAAGGGTCCTAGTATGTTGATTCCTACTCTCTCGAAAGGGATACCAACTGCTATCAGTTGGAAGAGTCCTAGTGGTTTTCTCGTTTCTTGTCCCTTTCTAGCTTGGCAGTCTCTGCACCCTTTGACATACTTTTCTACATCTTTTTGTAGTTTGGGTCAGTAATATCTGGCTTTGTGACATATAATTAGTGATGTCATTACATCTCATGGATATAAAACAGATTTCCATTATGGACTGGACATTCAGTGAATATTGAGATGTCCACTAGATATCCAAGGGAGGATCTACTAGTACTAGACGTAATTTAGATGAAGGGTATGAATTTTTGGAAGAATAAGTTAGGACCCGGTTTGTCAAGTTTACATTAGTGCTTGTAATTTAATTTGAAATAACTCATTTAAAAAATACGAAATTTGTTTCCATTTATTTCAAAGTAAAATCAAAATCTTACATAGTATTTTATTTGGCTAGCCACGCTTTACTAGTTATTTATATGACCAATATATTACCTGTGAGACACATATGCTTCACGTGGTGAAAAACGTGCTAATATTGTTTACAAAGTTCTGTATTTTTAACGAACTAAATAAATGTTTCTGATTCTATCTTGTAATTAAGAGAGATATAAATAATAGAAGCAAGTGAGACAGCAAAAGTTCTTAATTTTCCCAACAAGTTATCATGATTCATGATCGAGTCTGTCTTAGGTAAATTCTTACAATAACTTGTTATTTGCATACAAAACTTATATAGATACTAGGTGTTATTGCAAGGATTTTTTCTTTACAGATGAGGCTGTTGTGTTTACATTTAAATAATAAAATAAACTAAAATGTTTCAAAGCTCATAACAAGTATAAACGAAACAGATAATAAGCATGTAGATACGCGACTGACAATCAGCACATGTTGTTTGTTTATTTGTGATTTCCAAATTATTTTCAACGTTTCCTGGAAAATTCGCTTTTGTTGGGAAAACAACGAAATTTCTAATAATTAGATGTTTCTCAATTATTCCAATACTTTTTTGTGTCCAAAAATAAACCAACATCAACACCTAGTTCACCAACATCTCTCTAAATAAGCTGTAGGTATAGATTAAGATTGGAAATAAAAAGCTACCATAAGAAAATTTTGTAAAATTGAATATTCACCTAATTATTTTCAATTAAATTTATATGCCTCATTAAGGAAATTCTTTACACAATGTTTTACTTCATGAAATTTAGTGAATAACAGCTTGATTTCTGTAATAAAGGCCTACGAATGAGAAAATTAAACGAACTTTCCGCTAAAACAACTCATCCCACAATATATCTTCGTTTCCCTAGAATAATTACAAACCTTTTCCCAGCAAAACTCTGACATTATTTTACAGCCAGGCCTCTAATATTTTAGGTCCGCCACGTGACATTGAAATTGTATATGTGTTCCAAAGTTTTCGGGGAAGATTTAAGGCATTGTTCGTCTTAAAAAATGGGGTGTAATACTGGGAAATGGTGAATATAGGGCACCGAGGTGGTTAGATGTTATCGTTACTAGCTTTGTTAAGTATTGATTTACTACAATTTCAAAATATTTAATAATAATAAATTAATAATAATAAATACGTTTATTACTCAATACATATAAAATAATTACAATTTTAATAATATTACAAAAAAAATAGTACAGAGTAAATGGCAATTTAGCTCAGTTCAGCAAGGTCATGAGGACCGTACTGTCTGTTCTTCCGCTAAAGCCAGAAAAATAAAAATAAAGTGTCTATGTGGCCTCCGATAACGTGGCAACACTGTCGGAGGCAACAACGACAACTAGAAGTACCAATTTATATAGTTTTCGGAGGTCACATCGTACCGTATATGCCTTCCTTATATACCATATTAAAAATTTAAAAATCTTTCTCCTCTTAAGAAATTCGGATTGGTAATAATTTCGATACACCATATATATAATTTTTTTCGATGTACCTCAACGGAAAGACCCGGAGGTGACAATTTCTCGTGCATCAATATGTATATATACTTTTTTCATCAGTGTGTTCTTTGACAAGTTTATCGGTTTTCATTTGTTTACGTGTCTGATCTAAATTGAGACAGTTAAACTTTCCTTTAAGTTTATACTGATTTTTAATAACATTGTGCACATCATAGGTAGAAATAAAACTTATTTAAGAGCCCTAGTCTTATATTTTATTAACGTGAGTTTATTAAATCTTGCAAAATTGCATCTTTCAGGTAAGTTGAACACCATCAAACATTAGAAACAAACTTATAATAAGGTTATACATTTTAATGTTCAATCTATTTAGAACCAAGCTCTTTCTACTCTCCCACTTAATGTACTTCTAAGTAAGGCTCCAGGACAACATGGCGCAGTCTTTGTACGAAGTTTTAGAAATAATCGGTGTTCCGGATTATGAATATTTCTGCTTTTCACTATTTCGAACAGACTGAAATGAGGAAAAGCATGGCTCTCGTTTCTATCCTCTTTGAAGGTTACAACTTAGTTTTGTTTTACTATAAAGAAAGTTACTTCAACTCCTTAGTAAAATCTTAAGTGAATGCTTAAAGAAGTTTTAATATTAACTAGAGTTGGGAATATTCAGAATTTGCGAGAGAATACTAAGAAATGGCAATTATTGGATTAAGAGCGCAAAGTAATTGCTGTTAAGCATATGTATATTTTTAATTATATATAGGTCCTTTAACTGATATCGTATACGTCATCACTAACGTAAGTAAAGATAAAGCATGATCAGTGGCGGCGCCTGCCTATAAGTTCGTTTTTTTTTATTGTATAATACGGAAAGAACACTATTCTATGAAATCGGTTAAAACTTTTCTTTTCGTTTTGAAACCTATTAAAAATTATTTTTTTGATTAAATAGCTGTGTTTGTTGAGCTATTTGAGGCACGCAAGTTTGTTTATGAATCAAATACTAAATAAATTTACAATGAAATAATATGGATAACAATTAACTTTCAAGCAAGAGTAAAAAAAATCTAAATATTAAAAAAAATCAGTTATTCTCTTCTATGAAAAAGTCTTCATGGTCCGGATTCTCTGCCATTTCAAGATACTAGAAATTACCTATAAACCAGGGCAAAATTGCTTCAAAGGCAAATTAAGTGGTATTCACATTCAATAAATGTTGCTTTTTGACATTTCCAGAATCTAACGAAATTCGATTATGGGCAAGCAAAAATTAGTTAACACTACTTACATGTGGTTGTCCAGCAGTATCCAAAATTTCCAGATAAACTATTTCGTTATCAATCACAGTGTGAAAGTTATAGATTTTTTCTAATGTTGGGTCATATTCGCCAATATACCTTCTAGTGATGAATCTAACAACCATGGCTGAAAAGAAGTAAAAATGTAGTATATATTTGTCAGCCTAAAGGTCCCGTAAAAAAATATATAATAAATTTCTAAAACAATTTTATTTTGGCTCAAAAAATAGAATTTGTATCAGTTTCTTAAGATGCAAATCAACAAAAGTGCTTGCAAAAAATCCTCAAGTGCAAAAACATTTTAAATTATTATCTAATATTACTACATGCTATTATAACTTGATATAAATAATCTTGGATATTGGACCTGTATAATTTGGCTAAGGATACGTCACTTTCTTTTTGGCTCGAGGTGATTTTGTCTCGTTGGGCAATTGTGACATTTATTAATGTAAACAGATGTATTTAGTTTCATAAAATAAAAATTTTGAAATAAGGACAATCTATAATCAGAAAAGATCGAAAGCCTTCCGAATCTGTTTGAGTAAGAACAATCCACGGTTAGTGTAACAGGGATCCTTACCAGGTATAGCCGACTCAAAGAACTCCTGTGAGTAAGAGAATTAAATTTACATTCATGTTCTGACGAAATGTGTGGCATTACAAAATCAAAGGGCATACCGGATAGAAGAGGACGGCAGCATTCCTAAACTTTCTTGGAGGATATGATTGAATAGATCGGTATGGGCGCTTGTGGATGGATTTCCAATTCTATGTGAATGATCTGGTTATCATAATTAGTTCTAAGAGGTGATCTCCAACATCCTTCAATAATCCCCAAATACGATCAACAGATGGTAAAACTATTATCGTCCCCTTCACCAAGAGAAGAAATTTCGACAAACTTCGACAACCTACCTTGGCTTGGGAAACTATGCTTTTGCGGAGGTGGTAAAATATATGTGGATCATCCTAGATAAGAAACTCACCTGAAACCCCCAATTGGTTAAAACTATCAACAAAGCCAGATTATCCCTCAGGACTCAGAAGAATATCTGACAAAACAGATATTTCCATCGAGGGCAAAAATACAACCAGATTTGCCAGAAATCATGAATAATCAACGACGCGCCGTCTATATGGTCAAGGGCGTTGAAATAAGTCATTATGATCAATGCTAAAACTGTTGAAGTAAAAATATTGTCGTGAAAAATTAAAGTAAGGGTATATACAACTGTTAGAATAACAGTTATGTCTGGATATATGGTCACTTAGTAAAAAGATGGAAAAAATAAATTCGGAGGCGAGGAAGGTGAAAATGTCGAGTGTAGAAGAAGAAAACAATCAATGATTGTCAAATATGTATAATAATCCATGTATCCCACAAGAGATAGAGCAATATGGTTAGGATATGTATACAGGATGCCGCAGACCAGGATGGTAAGAAGTTAACAGTGAAACTGGAGGAAAATAGTAAAGAAACTTTAAGTCATGATCCTTTACGCTTGTAGGGCTTATATAAACAACTCTAAGAAGCTTTAACTGATAAAAACCTAAACTAAAAAGATATAAACGTAACAAAACTTATATTACCACTGAATTACGTGTTCAATACAAATTTCTGTACTTACGATTTAAAATGAGTCAGCAGAAGCGATTAGAAAATCTTGCTAAATGATCTGACTTTTTAAAGCAGCTAGATGAAATTAAGGAATTTAGCAAAAGCTAGAAAAGAGACAATATATATTTTTTGATATATTATCAGTTTTTCTATCGTCTTTATTTAATGAAAAATGTTTCACAGCGTAATAAGAAAATTTACATTCGATCACCTTATTACTAACAAGTCTAGTTATTTTGGCTCAATGCACATAAAGGTACTTATCAGTATTTCGCATGAGGACACGAAAAAGACACCGCGGGTCCCTGTAGAAGAATAAACTTTACAAATAATAAAAAAAGTATTTACCTGATTTTCCTACACCTCCTTGTCCAAGTATCATAACTTTCAATGTTTTTGGGCGCGGATAAAGTCCTAATTTGGCCAGAGAGGATTTCGGAGATGTAGTATTCATGTCCTATGGTGGCATCTGAAAAAAAATTTTCACTGTCTTATTCTATTGCAATAAAAAAAAACGATTCTAATGAATGTAATAAGGTCATAGGGTCATCATTATAATACCGTAAGATCATTTTCCATCGGAAGACGTGAAGGAAGAGAAATGAAAGAAGAAATACGATACGTCGATTAATCAAAGACATTGTTAAGTGTCTCGCAAAAAAATGTCTCATAGGAAATATAAATTACATACTAAATTATTTTACTTGCAGTTTAGCCTTTCTGATTTATTTTTTATTGAAACGGACCGTTTCTTACACTAACTAGGTCACATTTTATACCAGCTGGTTTTGACAGATTAAACCCAACGACTAAGCTTAAATTTATTAATCTTGAAAATTATTATTAGCCGACAAGAATGAAGTGAGAACAGAATTGATCAATTTGTAAAATATGGGTAGTTCAGGAATTAAATAACTTAATACTTGGGTGAATACTTATACAGGATGTTCCAGAATATGTGGGAAATTTTCCGGATTCAGATGAAATACAGAACCTTTCAAAACTTATTTGGCCTATTTAGTCCCTGTATGATAAAGACACAACAATAATATTTTGGACAATTAAAACCTTAAACTTTATAAAAGGTACTCTTAATCAATAAAAAATAATTGTTGTTTAAGCTGATAAAATTCTTTCTCTGTTGCTATGGTTTTTGAATCATATAATGCCTTAGAAGCCAAAAGGCTTTACGATCGAAGAATTCCTGATAGGAATATCTTTGAAAGAGTGGGTTGTAGTTAGAGATATTTTTAACGAAAGTTTGATAAAACCGGCTACAATTATTGATAAAATCAAATGGATCGCGGTGAGGGTGTTGAAGAAAACTTGCTAAAGGCCATAAAAATAGATCCTTTTACAAGTGTCGACGATTTCTAGAATCGTTAGGTCCGATTGCACAAAGCGAACCCAAACCCAGTTTCAGCTGAGCTCTGTAAATGATTGAACCTGCCAAAAAAGGATACGAATCTCTATAATTTAAGGTTGTCAGATTGCGAATTGACGAAGTATGTAGCGGTATCTTTGTTTCTCTAGATCGCTCGTATTACCTCTAATTAAAGTTAAAAATAATTACTTGTTGGGTTCGGAAAAAACAACAACTATTGGGAAAATGTCCCAAAATAAGCACATGGGAAAACCTTTATAGGAAGACAATTACTCTTCATGAATAGGAACCAGTTAAAAACAATAGCAGGATTCATGACTAGGCATGCCCCACTAAAGGGGTACCTGAACAAAATAGACCTTTTGAGTCGACTTTGTCACAAGGAACCAGAAACAGCCAAACATATACTGTGCAATTGCGTGGCATTGGTTGCACATTTTGGACAACCATAGGTTGATCCAATAACCTATAGAACACATCCTATCAAGGACTTGTAAAAACTTGTACACGGGACTAAGGTGACAGAGGTTATATGCTACAGTTTGTATACGTGTAACTTTAGTCAGAGTTGAAAATATCAGACGTATATAAAACACTGTTTCTACTAAAAAAACTTTAAATTATGTGCGAGATTTTTGTAGTAAAATTTAAACAGGAACTTCGACAGTAGCTTGGCCTCCTCGATCACCTAACCTAAACCCTTTAGATTTTTTGTGGGGATATTTAAAAATTTTCGAAAATAATACCGTCTTGGGAGTCTCGGGGTACAGGTATATAGCATTTAACAGTTTTGAAATTTATATTTATTATATGACTGCTATTATAAATTTTGTAACTTAAATATTACTACAAGATATCTCATTTATAACTCTAAACTTTATTTCCACTTTATAACAAATTAGGTACTGAAATTCCCGGTTTGTTTTTCGTAAATCAAGCATTCCTTGAAAGCCTATTGTATCGTTGATTCATAATTTTTCCCGTGAAATTAATTAGAGCATTAAAATCCTTAAACGAAGAACGATTCTCTTAAAGAAAGTTTTAAACACGATTTTCATTTCTTTCCTCAAAGTGGTTTCTTTTAACCAGGAAATATAGCACATAATTTGGTTTATACAAGGAAAAAAATAGGTTGAGTCTCACATCATTGATTTATTTCTTTTCAAATTATCTAATTAAAAGAAAAGTTGGTAAAAAATACGTACAATATAATTTTCTTTAAAATTAATGTAATATCGCGGGAGAAATATAGATATTATTAGTTTTGCATTATTTTTCAATAATCGGGAGTCGACTCTATGAATGTTAATCTGTAAATCAGCAGGAATATTTTCTGATACCTAATTATATTTCTTTGGTTGACTCCCGGGCAAGAAAAAATCACGGGTTGTCCTGACTCCGTATTTCCTCCTCTTTCTACTCGTGTAAAAAAAAATAGGTATCCTTACCGTGCTACTTAAAAAATTTCCAATTATACCGGTAATATTTGTTGAGTTTATAAAGCTGAAACTGATACAGACTTATTAAGTCCTCATCAGTAATAATGACTCACCCACTCTTCTTGCTAATATATCATTTAATATATCTAAACAAGGAACAAGAACAATGAGTTGTTCTGTTGTTCAGAATTTAATATCATTTGAGTAATTACAATTTAATAGTCCTATTTATAGAATTCTAAGGGCTGCAAATACATATTCCCACTGCTATGATTAAAAACAAAAATTTGTTTTGTTTAAATTTACTCCATATAGACATATGATCAATCCTATATGGAATAAACATAAGATTTCATTCATTCTACATGCAAAATTGCTCTTGTTTCATATATATGTAACAGTGTAAAAGTAAAAAAAAACATCACTTTATTGTCAGGATCGTCAAAATAGAACCCAACACCATAAAGCAACAACCTAAAAAAAAATTAAAAAAAAATTACAAAAAAGTTAAAAGGAAAAGTATGTAAAAATCGTTCCATATATCCCCAACTTACGGTACCTAAGACAATTAAATCGTTTATTTCAGAAACAACCTAAGTCACTTTTTAAGAATTTTCAGAAGGTAAAAAAATTTTAGTAAATTTCATAATAAAACTGTCATGTTTAATATAATAAATTTATTTTGGTGTACAGATTTTCTTACTAAATCTCGCACGATCTTGAATTAATAACTTGAAACTTTTCCTCGGACATGATTTTTTTAAATAACATTTTCAAAAAATCGTGTATCTACTCGAAAAAATTCAAACTCTAGAGAGATTAATAGTGAAAATTTCGTTGAAATCGGATTTAAATATATTGATTAAAAATTAATTTTTTTAAACTTTCTCGGAAACGAAATATTTTCGAACAAATGTTTAATTTGATGCCTCTACCACCCCTTAAAGTTTGTCGGTATATTTACCGTGTATACAGTGAGCATCATAAGTCTTACCCCCCCTAACTAACTCGTTACTGGGGTCTTGTTAGGAAAATCGCCGAGACAGGTCGATTTTTGATTTCTACAATATACATTTTCGCATGATTAGTTTATCCTTAATTTCATCCCTTACTGGAGGGTAGCAACCCTTTCGAAAAATTTAAATGGCATGGGGTGGTGAGTGATAGCTCATTTGAAAGGGGGTTTTATTCTCTATTCAACCATGCAAAAAATTTTAAAATTTGCTTCATTACGTGTTGATTTATTAATGTTTAAAAATAACAAAACCTCACAAAAAAGGAAAGCACTAGACTAACAGTGACCTTCTAATGGCAAAAAGTCTTACTTCACGTCTGAACCAAAACCGAAATCATGCAGGGCCGAATTTTAATTCTAAAGATGAGTGCGCTACGTTAATTTCCGTTATTCTGAAACAACAATTAGTCGAGAATTAATGAAGCAAATTTCAAATTTTTTTACACGAAGAGAATAAAACCTTCTTTCAAATGAGCTATCACTCACCACCCCATGCCATTTAAATTTTTCGAGAGGGTTGCTCCCCTCCAGTAAGGGATGAAATTAAGGGTAAACTATTTATACAAAAATGTACATTGTAGAAATCAAAAATCGACGTGTCTCGACGATTTTCCTAACAAGACTCCAGTAACGAGTTAGATAGGGGGGGGGGTAAGACTTATGGTGCTCACTGTACGTATGTATAATTAATCTGCGAATGCATATTAAATTACAAAGATATTTCCAGACTTTCATTATAATGTTGTGATTAAATCGATAGATAATTAAAACCGCAGAAAATTGGCAAATACTTTATTTACATTTTATTTTAATTTCAGAACATATTTGTATGCCTTTGTTTTTATGTTGTTTTTGTTTCAACATATAGTTGCATTGAATCGTTTTGTTTCCACAAATAGTTTTTCATGCGATTTTCACTGTTTTTCGCGACCTCGACAAAGAGTTTGAACAATATGTCATTTGTGCGATTGACTGGTACATTATTTTCGCTTTATGTTTATTTAGAAACTGTATTAAACGCTCTTTAAAAAGTTTTTCTATTATTTTAGATAAAGTGGATAGCAAAGATATTGGTCGGTAATTACCGACTTCTAGCTTATTTCCAGATTTAAATAAAGGCTTAATCAATCCAACTTTTAGTGATTTGGGAAAATAGCCATTATCAAAACATTTGTTGATGATAATTTTTAAGGGATTTGCAATAAGATCTGCGACCTCTTTTAAGGTCTCAGCTTTTATATCATCAAATCCGGGCGCTTTCCTTGATTTAAAAGTTTTTATTGTTTTTATAATTTCCTCTTCACTAGCGTGTGACAAAAACATGCTTTTTTCAAGTGTTGAGATTTTGTCTTCGAAATTAACCGGTTCTTCAATTTTTTCAGCATATTGTTCTCACAAGTCGCTAAAAAAATTGTTAAATTCGTTGGCGATCTGAAAGTCATTAAGAATTAAGTCATTGTTTTTCGATAGTATTTGAGATTTTTTGTTACTGTTTGCTCTTTGCTACATATACCTACTATTTATACAGCTCCATAGATTTTTTGAAGATGATTTATTATCAATTATACATTTGTTTACATAATTAGTTTTACTTTTTTTTATTACACGATTTAGATTATTTTTGCATTTGT